AGCGGGGAAGGAAGGTGGGGGAGGGGGCAGAGGGGGACCGGATGAGGAGGAGGGAGGTGTAGGGGAGAGGGTAAAATCGGGAATTTGAAAGAAAATGCATTGGAACTTGAGGGGAGGTGAGCTGGAGGTATCTGGACACAATTTTTTCAAAAAACCGGGGCTACAGCACATTGGTGAAAGTTGGAGGGGCTGAAGCACAATGAAACTTAGAATTTGGGGCCTTGAAGCAATTTTTCTTTTTTTTCAAAAATATGGAGGTTTGGTTTGGTTTTTCTGTATTAGCCCCTAGCTCTATTCTAATTTAATCGTAAGTTCCCAAAATCTCCATATTTGCAAGTCACGTCTTTATATTTATTCTAAATAAGAGTTATTTAAAGAACTTAAATTCAAAATATATTTCATTTGTTGTAGTCAATCAACTTCAAATCCATCGTTTCCTATATCTTGATTATATTGTAGAAATTTATTTTCAAATTGAAGTCTGGTATGATAAATTGTAAAAAATGTTAGTTTTGCATACTGTGTTGCGCAAGTATATATACATTGGTAAACCAGGTGTTCGTTTTAGCTAGTGAAAAAAAAAAATCTATATTTGCTGAGTTGGAACAACTAACATGAGAGTGCAGCACTAATTTTTACTTTCTAAAGCTAGTGCAAGGACTTTGCAACATTTGTTGTTGCAAGTTGACCTTAACAAATTATGTAACTCTTTGACAACACAAGTAAAATTATCTTTTTCTACAAACTTATTGCTTACTAAACAATGAAGATAGAAATTCGACTGCAAAAATTATTTTTATGCCCTATTTTCATCAACCAAATAACTTCTTAATAGATTTGGGATGTATATTACCAAGTGGTCACTGTGGTTGTATGGTGCATTTGGTAGATAGAAAATTTTTTTAGTACAAATTGCAAATCCGAAAAGAGTTTCCAACTACTTCCACTATCATAAAAGAATGCATACATATTTAATAGTTATGACTTTTTATTGTAATGTATTAGAAAAAGTATCAAATGCATCCAGTTTCATGACATTAAATGAGCACCAAATGAATATCAGCTTTTGGATTATTAGATTTCAGGATTTGTTCAAAGATCCAATGATTGACCTTTTTTAAGTGCATATTTAATATCATGGATCACCCTTATCGGATACTTTCTCAATGTATTATGTTTTTGCATGTACATGATTAAAAATTACCAATTTGAGCTGAAAAAAATAAAATCATTAAACTTTGCACATCTATATATGTTAATAGAGGTAATTGAAAAGTAGTTGAGAAGTATTCAATGCTTCTTAAAAGTTGCCTTAAGGACGCACTACCTATAGAAAAATCCATATGAAAATTTTTCATATGAGATTCTCAAATCTATTCCTCTATAACAATGGGAGGATCCAAGATTTACTATTCATCTTGCAGTAAATACTACAGTAAATTATTGGTGTGACATTATTACAGTAGCATAAGTAAGTATTACTGTAGCTTAGGTGTGATACTGTAGCAGTTTAAAAATATTACTGTACCACTTATAAAGTATATATTAAAATATAAAATTACTATGAGCAAAACTTGTGTCCACTTAAGTGGACATCCACCAAACTTTTTAACCCTTGGATGTTTCCTAGGGATCCTTGCATGATATGAAGTGACTTTTTATATGTTAAATGAGTGGATATAAAGTTTGGTGGACACACTATTCACTATCCACTTAAGTTGACACAAGTTCTCCTCAAATTACTATAGCAAAAATAAAAAATAGAGACCTTGCTTTGAAAAGGGTGCACATTAGTTAAAACAATGATAGAGAGCAGACAACCCCCTAACTCTTCACCTATACTAATCACAGTAAAAATGTTATAGTAGGCTTAATTGCATATTCTCTCTAAATCTTTCATAATTGTATATTTATCCTAAATCTTCATAATTGCCATTATACCCCCTAGTTTTTCATATTTGCATATTTACCCTCTAAATATTCATAATTACCAATGTACTCCTCAAATCTTCCATATATAACTGTGTATTCACCCCATAGATATTCGTAATTACCAATATACTACTCAAATATTCTATATTGCAAATTTACCCTGCAATCCTCATAATTGCTAATGTACCTTGCTATTTTGTTAAATCATTAGATAAAGTTTAAAGATACCTAAAAATAACCGTAGGTGATGTTTATCAAGAGGAGAAGCTCCAAAGGATCAGTAAGGACAATTATGAGGATTTAGGGGTACATATGTGATTGCAATTATGAAAGATTCAGGGCACATTGGCAATAGTGCATATTCGGGGGATGGATATGCAATTAGGAAGGATTTGAGGGTATATCGGCAATCATGCTATTATAGAAGATGTTAGGGGTATATGACCAAATAACCCTTAATTAATATGAATATTTAAAAAAAAAAAGGAATAAATACGTCGTTGGATAATTATAATGAAGACGTTGGGCCTAATATGTTGAAGTTTTCCTCATAGTCTGTCCTTTCAATAAGATCTCCACGAGCGGAGTCGTCGGTACAGCGCCGGATTTAGCGGGAGATGGCGGCGGCGCTCCGATACCAAAACCCAACCCCAAACCCTAACCCTAAGATCCCCAATTCGAAACCCCTAAATTCTCGGTCTTCAATCTCCATCCCAAGTCGAAGTCTGAGATCGATTCGGTCGGAGCTCGCTAGCTTCGATCTCTCCCCGGACTGCGTCAACGGAGGAGTCCGCGTCCACATCGCGCGGAGCTCGTTGTAGTCTCTGATGGCGGCAACGGCGGTGCCGCTGAAGGGATTGAAGAAGAGCATATGCTTGTTGCGAGGAGATGAAGGAGTTGGCGGAGAGAGTCGCGATGGAGAGCGATGCCATTGAGCTCCGTAGTATCTCGTGGAGGTGAAGGAACTTTTTTCTTTTCCGAATTTGTTGTTAGCATTAAATTGTGCTGCTGATTTTTTTTTCATGGTTTGTAATGATTTCCACCGTGTATTAACAATAATTAGAGAGTGTTTTATGGACAAAAAATCGGTGCAGTAAGCATGAGAAGATTATGGTAGTCTTGTTGATACACACTGTGATAGGATAAGAAACAAGTGTGTTCATAGAAGATGAGAAGTTGCTCTTATTGAAGATAATGGAAGAGAATTGATTGAGATGGGTTGGCCATGGATAATGAAGACTGCTGGTTAGGAGAATGGTAGGATTATAGTTAATGGGGGCAAGGAAGAGTAGAGGTAGACCTAAAATAACTTGTTTAGCAGCAATTAAGAAGGATTACGATAGTAGTGAACTTTTTGGAGGCGATGACCCGTTATAGAACTGGTTTGATGACCCCTTATAGAACTGAATGGAAAATAAGGATTCATGTAGAAAACCCAAAGAATTTGGGATGCGCATTTGTTTTTGTTGTTGTCGTCGTTGTAATTTTAGGTAGATACTACATATTTGGTGAAATAGTTGTATAGCCTGTTTGGATGGAGGGTAGAGAAGGGAAGGGGAATGGAAATTTTGGTTTAACTTTGTTTAGGAGTTCCATTTAGAAAGGTAGAGGAGTGGAATGAGGAGAAAATTTAAACTAAAATCTTACTCCACAAATTATCCCTTCCTTCCCTTCCCTTAGTCATCTCCCAAACACACCAGTAATGTATATTATTCATCATCTTTTATAGTAATCCTGGTTATGTGAAGCATTACTGTGATCATTCTAATTATTAAGTAACATACAACCTTTCATTGTTGGGGTCCGAGCTTCTAAAATTGACAAAGAGTGAAAATGATTTTATTGGAAGTCTGGAATCACCTACTAGGTTGTAGCTTCTATTGTGAGTACACGTCTTAAGCCTATAGGAAGAAAGTATGGTTTTTTGTTTATTATATGGCTGCCCTTAGTTGCAATGGCCTAAAACTAGTGTTTCATTTTTGAGAGCTTTTTTTTTCCCCTGCAGACATTTTGTTTAGATGCCTTGATAAATTTCAGTAGACTACTTTGTTAATGGGCTTAAATTTGGTGAAATATTTGTGACTTTTGTGTTTTAGGGCATTTGAGGATGGTTTCCCCAATCTATTCATCTCTAATGCTCATGGTGTCCGTGGACAGCATGTGGCATTTTTGGCTTCATTTAGTTCTCCAGGAGTAATTTTTGAGCAGCTCTCCATCATTTACGTGTTGCCTAAGCTGCTTATATCTTCGTTTACTCTCGTACTTCCTTTCTTCCCAACGGGAACTTCTGAGCGTATGGAGGATGAAGGGGATGTTGCAACAGCTTATACTTTGTCGAGAATATTGTCTAATATTCCAATCTCAAGAGGTGGACCGAATAGTTTAGTGATTTTTGATATTCATGCCTTGCAGGTTGGTTTTTAACGGTTCAAATCTTACTTTCACATATATCATTCGCGAGTAATGTAAATGATCGGCGTGAGTGCCATTTTACTAAAGATAAAAGAAAAATAAGAACTTCGGAAGCAATGACATTACGTTGCTAAGCTTTCTCTAACTAGATATTTTTCATGCTATTATCCTTTTCCTTTGCAGGAGAGATTTTATTTTGGAGATAATGTTTTACCTCTGTTTGAGAGTGGGATACCTTTGTTGAAGAATAGGCTTCAGCAGCTTCCAGATTCCGATAATGTGAGTGAGTTACGATTTTCTTGGTAAGATTCAGCTGTCTGGTTTTGGCATTGCATAGTTTGTACAAATACATGCTCTTGAGATTTAAGCACATGCCTCTTTATATTTCTCTTTGTCGCAAGACCTAGACCTTTCTTGTTGGAATTTAGAGCTCTGTACTATAATTTATCAATAGGTTGTAATTTCTCTTGTTTTTTGTTTTTTGTTTTTGTTTTTTGTTTTTTATTTTTTTTTGTTTTGTTTTTTGTTTTTTGTTTTTTTCCCCTCTTCAGATAAAGAATAGAAAACTCCTGCACTTCATTAAAAGTTCAATAGTCTGATAGTGAATAGCTACTGTCATCTGTCTACTGGAACTCACCATTATGAATAGATACCTTTGATGGTGATCGCTGCATGCTTTGGATATCATAAATATGATTTATATGCTAAACTCTGTTCAGATATCTATCGCTTTTCCAGATGATGGCTCTTGGAAAAGATTTCATAAGCAACTTCAGCATTTCCCTGTGGTAATGTATCTAGAAAAACTCTATCACATGATATCAGTCTTTATTTTTCTGTTGTTGGAGTTAATAGTTATATGAAGTTTTTTACTATAGATTATATGCAACAAAGTTCGTGAAGATGATCAGAGGATTGTTCGTATCAAGGAGGGAGATCCCAGAGGCCGCCATGTTGTCATAGTTGATGACTTGGTGCAAACTGGTGGTACTCTAATTGAATGCCAGGTGCTTTTTTTACAGGAAAATGTCTTCTCTTCATTATTGTCCTGATTTAACTTTATATATTATTGGACTCTTATTTCCTTCTGCTGGTTTTTTGCTTACAGTTTCTTTAGTTCACTTCTTTTGCGTAAGTTTTAACGGTATATATAGACTGAATACCGCTTTCATTTCCTTAGAAAGCATTGGCAGCTCAAGGGGCAACAAAAGTCAGTGCCTATGTGACCCATGGGATCTTTCCCAATAAATCGTTTGAGCGGTTTCAATGTGATAATGGAGGTATGCATCTACTTCTTATGTGTCATCTCCACACTTCGACAATTCTTTGTTATCTTTCTCATATGATTTAAATGCAACCTATTAGCTATTGACTGGTTGGCAATTTAGGGTTGTGAAGTGTGTTTCTCATGTGCGAGGAAGAAATTTAGAGGGAAAATTAAAGGAAGTTGGCATTGCATCCATCGAGCATTACTATGCTAGATCAGTAAATACTCATAAAGACCTAATTAGTTGGAAGTGTTGCAATATCATGGCATGTTGCAGTGGTGTCAGGGATGCATGTATTGGAGAACAAGGGTATTAAGAGCTCATATGTTTCAGAGAGTATAATGACTTGTTCTTTTGAATTTCTTGAAATCTAAGCGTTCATATGTATTCAAAGAACTTAACCCAAAGACTAGGAAGAAGAAGAATATATCAAATGAGATATAATAATTTAAGTGTCTTACAATTAAGTAGTCCATAATGGTTTAATTATTCTGGTGACACATGTGGTGACATGGAATCGTATCATCCTTATAATTATCAAAAATATTTTTAACCGAGAGAATTAAATCAACCTGCTGAAGTGCACCCGTTTTGAGATACGCTGGGACTGACTTTAATCTGTAATGAACTTATTATTTTGCCTTACCTCTTCTTTGCCTGCTATTTTTTAATGAGACGGGTTATTCAAATTCAATTTTGATGTCTGTTTTAATTTATCACAGTATTTGCACATTACGGCTTTAATTTTTCATTATTTTCTCTGTTTTCAGTGGGTCCAGAGAATGGGTTCAGCTACTTCTGGATTACTGATTCCTGCCCCCTTACTGTTAGACAAGTGAAAAACAGGCCTCCCTTTGAGATCCTCAGCCTAGCCGCGGCCATAGCTGATGCCCTTCAAATATAGCTATATATTACAAAAAAGTACCCAGCACAATTAGGGCTTCTTCAGGGAGGTTCTCAACACTCTCCAGATTCTTTAAGTTCATTCTTTTAGTTGAACATCTTGACATCAGGAGTCAGGACTTGGCTTCTGTTGCAGCTAGCATATTTGTTCTGATATTTCTCTGTGATTGATAATAGGGAAGATGGAATTAGCATCTTGAGTAAGAGCCAGGTCCCTGTACCTGCTATTTACTTGAATAAGACACGGGCTTCTGTAGATGTTTGTGTAATACAAGGATAAGAATATCTCTATAATTTGACCTTGATTATGATAGTTTTGTTAGTAGTTATTCTATTTGTGGCTCCAATGGCAAGCTAAACTGTCAAGAGTTGTATTGTAAAATATTTGACAGGAAATGGTATTAAAAATTGCTCATTTGTTTTAGCCGTAAGTAGAGTTGGATCAAATACAATATTTACTATTTGGTTATCCGCAAATCAGAGTTCACTATGACGCATGAGAATCAACCATCAATTACGATCCCTTCAAGACTTGCTCATCCACACTCAACAATTGGGGGGGGCGGTGGGGGGGGGGGGTCAATTATCTTAGATCACCATTCTTCATCCTGCAAGCTGAGCAAACAACTCATTTGCTACCGCAGTACTTGAATTTTCTGGTATTGTAGGAACATGATCTGCTGCTGCTGGGGCTAATTCTGCATCCTTCTCTTCATCACTATCTTCTTTCTTCTCCTGCAATGAAATTTTAAGCCTGCAACCTTAAATTGGATTCTAAGAATTCTCATATCAAACGTTTACCCGAATGGACACTGTCGGCGGATTCGCCTCCTGCAACTGCAGCGCATACTCCAAATTCCACAGCACATCTACTCTACCATTGACGGCCGATTGACTCCGTACTCTGCCAAGCACTTCTCTGCGGCTTCGACATGCTTATTCATCGAATCCTAGTTAATCGTCCCTGCAATCAGAGGATCCACAATCTTCTCCATCAACCCTTTCCTCTTCCACTGCGTCGCCCACTCGGCCAAGTTCACTTTCTCCCTTGGCGGCGGTGCTGATGTGCGTCTGGTTCATCCCCGATGCGTCTTTTGACAGCCCGAAATCTGAAACCTTTGCGCAAAATTCTCGTCTAGGAGAATGCTGGTTGTCTTGACGTCGCGGTGAATGATCCCTTGTGCTGCGCCAGTGTGCATCGTAATGTACCCCGCGGGCTGCGGCGATGCAGATTACTAGTCTCTGCTTCCATGTCAGCGATGGGAGGTCCTTGCCGTAGATGTGATCTCTGAAGGGGCCATTAGCCATGTACCCGTAGACGAGTATCATCTCCGAGTTCTCGTCGCATTCTCCCATGAGGGAGACGAGATGGCGATGTCGAAGCTTGGATAGCATTTGGATTTCAGCTTGGAATTCGGTGATTCCTTGTTCGGATTGGGGTTACCTCGTTTGACGGCGACTTTTACTCCACCGTCGATCTCTCCTATGTATACGTTCCCGAACCCGCCAACGCCTATTACTGCATTTTCGTCCCAGTTTTTGACGCGGTCTCGAGCTCGGCAAAAGAGAAGAAGCGGCCCAGGCCGAGGGTAGATGAGAAGGTGAAGCCGCTCTTTGATCCGTAGCCGGAGCTTTTGCTGTTGCTGAAGGACTGGCCGCTATGTATCGGGAGCAACCATGACGACAAGCTGTTCCTCTTTCACCGGTCTTGGGGCTAGTTGTACCACTTGACCGTCAATGCGGCGACACCAGCGAGTCCACTGACCCTTTGTGATCGCCACGGCTGCCACCACTCATCGCGCTTTCTTGCTTCGCTCGCCTTCGTTGGTCATTTAAGGGCGAACCATCGACTCCAAACTCTCCGTCCAGGCTACCGACGGAACTGCTCATCTTTTCAACACCTCAACTCCGTTCAGAATCGCGCCTATCGTTCTCGTAGTATCCTTGATCGGACCAATCTGAACCATGATCCTGTCAGACGCTACAGACGCATTCACGATGACATCCTTGAAGTAGGCGCGGGCGAGGTTTCCATCCGTGAGGGTCGATAAATCCAACGGTGAGGCAACGGTCATGCCGTTGACGTACACGTTGAAGTAAAGATCGTTGAGATTCTTACGTACTCACAACGTCGCAAAAGTGGAGACGGACAAGGTAGTCAAAAGAGGGATCGACATCTAGATTCCACGACACGCTGAAGTTGGGGGTGTGCGGACGCGGGCGTCCTCCATCCGAACAGCGGAGGCATAGACCGAGCTCGGCGCTATAAGAGGAGAGACGCCGGCTCCATATTTCACAATGCTCGGCGTCACATCGACCCTCTTGGCCGTTGGCCGCGACTGTAAAATTTTTTGCTCGTCGGTGATCCACCGTCGGCCAAGCGTGTCATTCGCAGATGAGGGTATTAGGGGCGGAGACGACCTCGATGCCGTTGACAAACGCTGCAGAGTCGCGCGACGGCATAAATTTGAGGCTGATATGGTCCGTGCATGGGCACCGTCAGCAGAGGGGACGGAGACGTGGACATCGTCCTTGGCCGAGAGAGGAAG